CGGTTAAGGGCACTGGGTGTTCTTGCAGAGGACCCAAGTTCGAATCTCAGCACTTGCATGGCAGCTAACAACCATTCATAACTCCAGTTCCAGGGGATCTGATGCCTCTTCTGACTTCTGTGGGCACTGCACAACAGGGTGCACTTATACACATGCAGGCAATATACTCATACATACAAATAAAATTTTTTTTAAAGAAAATAAAAATACACAGTAACAAGCACAGTTGGCTATCAGTGAAGGCTTGTAAATAACAGAAAGGTTGTACATGAAGGATATCTTGATGTCCCTAAAGAAGGGTAGTATTCCCTGCTCAGTCATCAAGTCCTGGACTCTATCATAGTAGGGTGTGAAGGTGGAAGAGGGGTGTGTTTCATTCAGTGTTGTTAATCCCCCTCTAGATGAAGATGTGTGGTTTTATCTAAATACTAATTTACAAGGTCTCTTCCTACAGCCAAACTCTGTTAAAGCAATATCCATTTTTAGCGGCAAGACAATCCCTAAATTTCTTTTTCTTAAAGTATTTTATTTGGTCATTTGTTTTTGGAGACAAGGTCTCATGTAGCCCAGGCTGCCCTCTTACTTACTATGTAGCTGAAGATGACCTTAAACTTCTGCTCCTCCTGCCCCTACCCTTACCTTCTGAGAGTAGGAATTACAGGTGAGGACTAGCATTCCTGTTTTTTTTTTGTTGTTGTTGTTTGTTTCTTATTTTGGATTTATTCATATTTTATGTGTATGAGTGTTTTGCCTGCATGCACGTAAGTGCACCTGTGTCATGCAATGCCCTTGGAGGCCAGAAGAAGGTGTCAGATCCCCTGGGACTGGAGTTACAGACAGTTCTTAGCTACAATGTGGGTGTTGGGAATCGAACCCAGTCCTCTGGAAGAGCAGCCAGTGCTCTTAACCACTGAGCCATCTCTCCAACCCCGGTTCCTGGTTTTATGGGGATCAAACCCAGGGCTTCATGCATGCTATTATCTAGAATTGAGTTACAATCCCAATCATCAGCTATTATTTTATAACTGAGGCAATCAACCTAAAGTGTTACTGTCCTGAGCCTCCCTAGTTCTCAGGTGGCTAAGGAGGCTGATTGTGGCAAAGGTGTTCCATATATATATATTCTGCGTCCACTTGAGTGGCAGTCAGCCAATAGTAATTCTTTACCAATATGTTGCTCTTGTGTTTAAATGATTACCATTCTCTCCTCTGCTCCAATCTATGATGCCCTTATTTTTCTATTGTTACCCTTGTTTGCTGTGGTAGCCAGGAAGACCAGAGTTGTGCCCTTGGTGGTAGCCGATTAAATAAACTAAGCCATAATCTCTGTAATCTTTGGGTTCTTCTTATTTGGAAATAGAAGCTATTGATTTCTGCAGCTTATCTCTCTACTTTTACATTATGGTCCCTTCTGCTTATCCAGAGCCATAAGGATCCCACTTTGTATAATATATAGCTTTGGCATGCACAGCTGTTGTTAGAGTAGGCTTTAATCCTGCAGGCTTCAAATTGGATATCTCACCTACTTTGAATTCCAAGATATTTTGAGCTCATCTTTAGTGGTGTGGTGGTGGTGGCTGTGTGTGTGTGTGTGTGTGTGTGTGTGTGTGTGTGTGTCTGTGTGTCTGTGTGTCTGTGTGTCTGTGTGTCTGTGTGTCTGTGTGTTGGGGACTGGGAGGGAATGGATGTCTCTGGAAAGACTCAGAAGATGCATAGCATGTTGCAGCTGGAAGGCACCTTTAAGTTCATCTGGTTGAAGGGCTTCCAGTCAGGCTGTGGAGAATCTCAGGGTATTCCAGAGGTGCCTCTAGGCTGCTGTATTCGCAGAGAGCTGCTAAAGGAAGGTGGGGGTGGGTTTTCCTAATCTCAGCCCCTGGTAATTCAGCATCAATTCATTTTTTCAAACTGGTTTTCATTTTATGAAGTCATAGAGAAGGAATGTCTTGGCAACTGTGTGCCATTTTAACATGGTGGCTGCTTGATTATCCTGTTAATTACTTCTGATAGGTAATCATATTTCCTATACTTCATGTGTGTGTGTGTCTGTGTGTGTGTGTATGTGTGTCTGTGTCTGTGTGGTGTATATGTCTGGAGGCCAGAGCTTGACCTCCTGTATCTTCTTCTTTTACTTCCTACCTTGCTTTTTTTTTTTTTTTAAAAATACTTTATTATTTTTATTTTTTATGCATATGAGTGTCATGCCTACATGTAGGTAAGTGCGCCCATGTTGTGCAATGCCCACAGAGGACAGAGGGGCTGTCGGATCCCCTGGAGCTGGAGTTATGGACAGTTGTTAGCTGCCATGTGGGTGCTTGGATTCGAACCTGGGTCTTCTGCAAGAACAGTGTTCTTAACCGCTGAGCCATCTCTCCAGCCCCTCACCTTGCTTTTGTGATAGGGTTTCTCACCGAACCTGGAGCTCGGATTGCCTAGGTTTGCTGACCAGTGAACCACAGGATCGTCCTGTCTCTGCATCCCAGTGCTGGGATCACAGGCTCATGCCACCATACCCAGTTTTTAACACAGGTGCTGGGGACCTGAACTCAGATTCTTATGGTTGCGCAGAAAGCACTGTACCACATGAACCATATCTCAGCCCTGTCCCACACTATTTTTTGGTCATCTTCAGTTCTCCCATCCTCCAATTCCATTTACCACCCTTACTATACCCTCTCTTCACCCTATAAAACTGCCATATTTTTCCAGCAATAACTGAGTCCTCATGTACCCGAGGCCTCTGATGTGGGAGCTCTTGCATCTTGTCACTTCTCTGCTTCGCCATATCTCTTCTGTGCTACCTCTCCCTTCCTCCAGTCTTTGGGAAGAAGTATGTCTCTTTCCCTTTCCAGGGCTAACTCTTCCTCTTTCTCTGGTGCCTACAATCCCACTCCTTCCTTTTCTGTCAGGATCTTATCCATTTGAACTTTCATATTCAAACACTTCCTAATCTCTAGAGACTTTCAGTCTTTATTTCAACCATCTTTAGGCCTTCCTGTCATGCACATATTCAAATGCAATAGCATCAGCAGCAGCAACAACAAGGAATTTCCTTTTTTTTTGGTCTTTTTGAGGCAGGGTCTCCCTGTAGCCCCAGCTGTCCTGGAACTCACTATGTAGACCAGGCTGGCCTCGAACTCACAGAGATCTGCCTGCCTCTTCCAAAGTGCTGGGATTAAAGGCGTGCACCACCATGCCTGGCTCTAGGAATTTCCTAAATTTTGCTCGATATACACTGTTTTTTAAGTTTCCCATCCCCGGGGCTCTTCTCATATGTACTGCACACGCCAATAAACTGTTTTTATTTTCTGAACATGCTTGGTATTTTTTCTTTACTGGTTTCCTCTTCTTGACCTCTTCTGCTTATTGGAATCTTCCAAAGCCTGTCAGGGACTGTCTCTTCTACACAGTCTTTCTGGTTTCCCAGCAGTGGCTGTAATCCTGCCCTCATTTCAACACCCACCTCACTGTTTCTGACTTGCAAGATCTTAGCCTTCTTTCATCTGCCGACAGTTCCCCAGGGCAGGGTTAATCTTTCTGATGTTTGTGTTTCCTATGGTGCCGTGCAATCTGAGTAGATGTCTGATCTGCCCATATCTGGGCACAACTGGATGTAGACTCATGTCTCATGATTCTTGGATTTATGAATTTTAGGGTTAATAATTAGGTGTTTGTGAGCTCAGTGAACATGTTTGTCTGGTGTCTCAAAGAGGCTAAGTACAACTTTTGGTTGTACTTTTTGGTTTGACTAAGATTATCTTAGCCAAACAGCTCTGCAAATGTAGTTGGGCAGATTTATCTTTCAAGCCAACTCTCAGACTTCTATTGATTAGATGTGCTCATCTGGCAAACCATGTTAAGAAGGAATCTCATTATGGAAAATGTCAGCTGCTTGACTAGTAATGTCTACGATGAACACGGAAAAGAATTTTGACACAGGTGCCAAGGTTCTGCCATCCTGTAAGGACATATGTATGCAGTTTGAGTCAGGAAATGGGTGTTGCCTTTGCTTAGACAGCTTTGTAAGATTTCTATACAAAGATTTCTAACTAGTGGGTGGGCACATTTTAAGACATTCATTTCTTTACATAAGTCAAGCCTGCCTGTGCTGGAGGTCTGTGTCTAAACCAGCAATGTTGGTTTTGCTCTCTGAGTTACAAAATAATTCCTTTATTTCAGTTCCAAGTTCCCTCTTCTATGATGGAAGAGTGTTTCCCAGGCTATCTAACACTTGCTCCTTTTTACCGTTCCCGACAGCTTGCTCTTTAACATGTTTAAAGTTTGTGGGAAATGTTTCTGCCTTGAAACAGTGGAGAGTTTTAATGCAAATGCTTCTCTGGTTGAATACTGGAGCTCACAGAATGCTTTCTCTGCCTGACCTGAAGTAGGGCTCTTGAGATTCTTCAGGGCTCCAGGCCAGTCAAGAGTGGGTGGGTTCTCCAGACCCATGTCCAATCCAGACTGCAACCCTGCTGAGATTTGAGAATCTTATTTCTCTTTTGCTTAGACTCACATTGTTTATTGAGTGTTTATAGCATGGACTGCCATTGTCCAGGCAGAGGGATTTTGGTTATGGGATTCTCTCCCCTGAGCCCTGTGTCACTGTGACACAGATGAACCAAGGCTGGGAAAAGATGTGACTAAAAGCTGTTTTGCAGGTAGACATTGAATTTTTTTGCCATTCTCCCAAATGCTGCAGTTTCTGGGTCCCATTTCAGGCTTCTGCCCCTGATTCTGCACTCCTGCCCTGTGCTTTCCTGGCATCGCCCCCCCCCCCCCCCCCCCCCGCCCCATACACTTTATGGGCTTCTTTGGAGCACATTTTCCTTTTCACCATACATAGAACTATAAGGCTGCTGGTGCCTTCCACTAAAATTCAGCCTGTGATCTGCTTTGTTCTTTCAGTTGCAGTGGTCCCTCCTGGCTTCCCATTCAATAGATATTTCCAGTCTTTTTAAGACATTCTCCAACAGACAGATTAAAGCAGTTGAATCCACACTTACAGTGAATCTCCACAATCCTCCCAGGTCATCGCTCCTCTCAAAGCAGGTGGGCTCGAGTCCTTCCTCTAGGCAGCACTTGATGGAGGCCAGTCCACTGACCCCAGCTCCCACGACTGCAACTCTCTTGGCCATGTTCCTCTGTGTAAAGAACATGAGGGAGAGCAGTTTTATTCACAAAAGCCCCACCCAACTCTTGGCTACTCAACAAACCAGGAAAAAGAACTTGGAAGATTAAGAGATTTTCTCAGTTTGAGTCCTCTGTAGCCTGTCTCTGGTGGGTGAGTGTGAGAAGGAAAATGTACTGGTTAACCCCAGTGCTGGGTTATGTCCCCACCCCTCAGCCAGAGCTGGCGCCCAGCATTCCTCAGTTGTGGTCGATAGTACAATTGTAGCTTCTGGCAGAGTGGCTGAAACCAGACCCTTTGGTGGGCAGAGTCTCTCTCCTGATTCCCAGGGGAACCACAGTGTGTGTGTGTGTGTGTGTGTGTATGTGTGTGTGTGTGTGTGTGTGAGAGAGAGAGAGAGAGAGAGGGAGGGAGAGAGAGA